TTCAAATCTCAACCTTGTTGCCAGTATATTTAAATAGGTAATACAGGTTACATGCTGCTATATGGTAATACAACGATACAACAGCTTTGAAGAACAGTCACAAGAGCAACACTTCCTTACAAGATTTTCTACTGCAACAATATCCTATCCCATGACACCTCTTTATATTATTTACTCTATGTCTTCGGGCACCAAAAGAACCCATACACAGTAAGAAAATTCTAGAACCTTAAGGCTCTTCTGCTGGCACATCTAAGTGGCTGTGATCTCACGACTATAATACAAGGTAAAGCTCAAGTAGTAATAACATCAGTACTATCCTGGGAGATTTTGGCACAAAACACACAAAAGGTTCATATTATAACCCAGCTAGCCTCAGACAAGAGAATGGATCCTACATTGCCAACCTCTCAGAGACAGCAGAGGTACTGAGAGACGCCCACTTTCCCGGAGCCACCACAGCGCCATATCCCAATTGGCCAGAGGTAACTCCCTTCATTCCTACGGAGAATGACTGGGCGGTTGCCAGTCAGATGTTGGATGTGACAAGGGTGATCTGGACAGTGAAATCGTTCTCAGCATACGAATCACCACAATTGGATGGCATAATACCAGCCCTTCTGAAATGGGGTCTTATGGACTAAATGCCCCTCCCACTAATAGGCGTCATTCTTTGATAACGCACCGCAATCATGCCAAACTGAATTCCAAGTCAAAAAGTCACTATATTCGAAAGTTACTAGAAAAGTAACTCGGTTTGAAACTCTGCTAGGAGCACGTTATATAGAGCCGATTCTAACTCAAAAAGCACAGATATACACATAGAACAGATTGCTAACCTTATGTATTTTATGGGTATCACATTTAGATACACTTAACAGCGCCCTCTATTGAGCAGCAGTATAAACATGTACCATTTACACTTATGGATTTATGCATTAGATGTAATTTATCATGTGTATATGAATGTACAGTACCCGCTCATACACTTGTTACTGTAGCGAGACCAATCACACTCTAAGAACATTTTTGTAATTGTCACCAATGACCACATTAAATTTCCAAGTGTGTTTTAATAACTTCATTGTTGCATGATCTACAGTCAACTGTTACTAACAATGATCAATTCCAAACCAAAGTCAATAACCTTGGAAATAAGAGAAAACATCAACCATGTAGGATGTAAACCAAAAGTGAAGCTTGAGGGTGAAGTTCAGACAAGTCTACTCAAAACTACTTCATTTTCCAAGTCCAGATTACTCCCTGCTCAATAATTTATAAATAACACTAGAAAGTACAAAATTGAAACGCTTTAATCAGCATGACCTTTAGATTTTTCAGTATCTGGCGTTTCCTTATCAACTGTTTATGTGGTAAACCCTTATCGATTTAAAATTAAATTGCTATAACGGAACTTACTTAAGTTACCAAAATGATCGGACAAATCCGGCGGCCCCAGATCAATAAGACTGTCATCTGCCTGTGACGGAATCGGTTTCGGGCCCGGTCCAATCGCCTTAGCCAACACGGCCGAAGCCGACTGACCGCCCGCCTCGCGATTTTTCTCCCATCTACTGTACCTCAAGAACAGATTATTCAGATCGTCGTTAATCCGCAACAGGTCCGCGGTCAGTTCGTCGTTGGACAACTTGCTTATCAACTCGACGAGACGCTGCTGCATTCCGTGACATGTGGAGTTTAACTCCTGCAACAACTCTAATTCGTCTGGATGCTCGTTACCAGGCTGCATCTCGTTTAACATCTCTCCGAAAACAACCATGTTCGATTGGACAACGTCCAATTCCGACTGTAGTTTAGAACGTTGTTCGGGTGATAACGCTCCATGCGTGGGACTGGATACTAGTGGCGCTGTGGAGTAGGGCTGCTCGGGTTCTACCGGTGGTAATGTGGTCGCCTCCACACTCTGCAAAGGAAATAACTTATGTTGATGCATCTCACAACGTTATAAGGGAGATGAACTCTGGTAATGAAATCTGGTTGGTTTTTTTATGAATAAACACAAAGGGTGATCATTCGTTTAAACTTGTGTTTCAATATTTGTTTTTCCTTTTAGAAATTTGTTTAATTTAATTTTTTCACTTTTGTAAATTGTTCAATTTAGCTAAGGTGCTAGAAGTAAAACGCATCTGGTCTAATTTTACATGATTTAGGTATAAAAAGTTATATCTGGTCGTTTACGATAAGAAGTTTTATTGTTAGACGAAATTTCAGACAGGAAGATGCACATTTTTTACGAAGATATGCGCGTGTCTCGGCGTAAGTGGGGAGACAAGACCGTGATTATAATTCCCCGACCTCCGCGCTCGCCGCCATATTAAAAAAAACGAAAAAAATGGCGCTTTCTTCAGATTTTCGCTTATATCTTCGTTTGGGTGCATTTTAGCTACAATATTATAGACAATTTTTTTTAAACTTTGACATTTTTTCTCAGTTTTTTTGGGTGGTTCAAACTCGTGGGAATCTCCGCAACGTTGAGAAATACAGTGTAGGCTAAATGGGAGCAAAGTTGCCCCTTTTCGAGTCTCTTTTGTGACTAAAAAAAAACGAACTTGAAATTTTTGAAAAATCTTTCAAAGAAAACTGAGCTATCACGGAAACACTGAAGTTAGCACCCTCTATGGGCGCTTTTTCCAAGTAGTATTAGATTCGATACAAATGCGAAACTTTGAATCCCCATTTAACAGACTTCGTATTTCTTATCTTTTCCGAGGGCCCAATGGTTACCCTTGAATTTGGGACACCCTGTAAAGGTTACTAAAACTGCGAGTCATATTGTGAATAAAAACGAACTGAATGCTTGGAATAGTACTTTCCTGTCACTTCCCGGTTGGACCGCAAACAACCCTAAATTTTTTAATTCAAGTGACACACCCTGTATATTTTTACATTTTTGGATTCTTCAGACAATTTTACAGCCGATTTTTTCTAATTTATTCAAAATAATAAATTGAATAAAATTGAAGTGAGGTGGCTTATAGTGTCTTTTATTAAGTAACCAAATCTCTTCCTGCTAAAACCTACATCAAGTTAGCAATAGATTCCAGCAATAGACCTTATTTCATATAAAATAATAAAATAAAGTTTGAAGTCACCTCAAATGGACTTGCACACATGAAGTTAAAAGTTTTTATAAAAATTTTTTTATTAATAATATTAGGGGTTGAAAGGGGGTTAAAAAATAAGGGTAACTTTGTTGGTACAGGTTTTTTTCCCATTTTTTAAAAAGTACAATAAACTTAAAGTGCAAGCACTATAATTGTCAAAATTTCAAAATGTAACCCCACGCCGTTTTGGAAATAATTGATTTTTTCGGTTTTTTGCGGTTATTTATTGCTAGGGGTGTAATTTGTGTGGTGCATCAAATATTTTTGTTTTCAGTTATGATTTTTATTATATGGTCTAATAGTAGTCTAATGCCCAAAAATAAAAATGTAACCCCGCGCCGTTTTGGAAATAATTAATTTTTTCTGTTTTTTGCGGTCATCTATTGCTAGGGGTGTAATTTGTGTGGTGCATCAAATATTTTTGTTTTCAGTTATGATTTTTATTATATGGTCTAATAGTAGTCTAATGTCCAAAAATAAAAATGTAACCCCGCGCCGTTTTGGAAATAATTGATTTTTTCGGTTTTTTGCGGTTATTTATTGCTAGGGGTGTAATTTGTGTGGTGCATCAAATATTTTTGTTTTCAGTTATGATTTTTATTATATGGTGTAATAGTAGTCTACTGTCCAAAAATGAAAATGTAACCCCACGCCGTTTTGGAAATAATTAAATTTTTTCTATTTTTGCGGTTATTTATTGCTAAGGGTGTAATTTGTGTGGTGCATCAAATATTTTTGTTTTCAGTTATGATTTTTATTATATGGTCTAATAGTAGTCTAATGTCCAAAAATAAAAATGTAACCCCACGCCGTTTTGGAAATAATTAAATTTTTTCTATTTTTTGCGGTTATTTATTGCTAAGGGTGTAATTTGTGTGGTGCATCAAATATTTTTGTTTTCAGTTATGATTTTTATTATATGGTCTAATAGTAGTCTAATGTCCAAAAATAAAAATGTAACCCCGCGCCGTGTACTGTGCTGGTGAAAACGGTGAAATTATGTGTACACAATGTAATAGGAATGATCATCAAATATGCGCTAACATCACAATCGAAAATAGTCAAAATTATATTTGTAAAAAATGTAAAACTTAAGACACTCTTGTAAATATAATAGACATCACCATTGTAGTCCCGTTTCGGAACGCAACATAGAGATTTCGCATGTTAAATTTAAAGTTTTTATCTATTGTACAATAACAAAAAAAAAGCTTTAAAAATGCAGAAACTAATTTTTAATATTTGACCCTAAACAAATTTTTAGAATGGTACAAATTTACTTAAAAGTATTTAAAATAAAACTAGAATTTCCAACCAAAACGTATATGATGATAACTTGATATGGTACTGCAATTTTCTTTTGATTGTTTATGCTTACTGACACTTTCTATGATAGAGAAATTTTATATTTAAACATGCTAAATCTTTATGTTGCGTTTTAAAACGGAACATACATTCAAGGTAACTAAAAGCTATAAGTACCAAAAAAAGTAAACTTTTTATATATTATGTTTTTAGCAATATAAATATATAAATTCGTTTGTTACAATTAATTTCGTTCTCCAACACAATTTGTAATTATTCTTTGCCAGGCTGCTAGTGGATTACATTATTACTGTTGAATAAAAACACTACCAATAATTATCGCAACAACACGAGTAACATTAGTTACACCCCCAACAATAAATAACCGCAAAAAACCGAAAAAATCAATTATTTCCAAAACGGCGCGGGGTTACATTTTTATTTTTGGGCATTAGACTACTATTAGACCATATAATAAAAATCATAAGTAAAAACAAAAATATTTGATCCACCACACAAATTACACCCCTCGCAATAAATAACCGCAAAAAACCGAAAAAATCAATTATTTCCAAAACGGCGCGGGGTTACATTTTTATTTTTGGACATTAGACTACTATTAGACCACTATTAAAAAATCATAACTGAAAACAAAAATCTTTGATGCACCACACAAATTACACCCCTAGCAATAGATGACCGCAAAAAACAGAAAAAATTAATTATTTCCAAAACGGCGCGGGGTTACATTTTTATTTTTGGGCATTAGACTACTATTAGACCATATAATAAAAATCATAACTGAAAACAAAAATATTTTATGCACCACACAAATTACACCCCTCGCAATAAATAACCGCAAAAAACCGAAAAAATCAATTATTTCCAAAATGGCGTGGGGTTACATTTTTATTTTTGGACATTAGACTACTATTAGACCATATAATAAAAATCATAACTGAAAACAAAAATATTTGATGCACCACACAAATTACACCCTTAGCAATAAATATCCGCAAAACATAGAAAAAATTTAATTATTTCCAAAACGGCGTGGGGTTACATTTTTATTTTTGGACAGTAGACTACTATTACACCATATAATACAAATCATAACTGAAAACAAAAATATTTGATGCACCACACAAATTACACCCCTCGCAATAAATAACTGCAAAAAACCGAAAAAATCAATTATTTCCAAAACGGCGTGGGGTTACATTTTTATTTTTGGACATTAGACTACTATTAGACCATATAATAAAAATCATAACTGAAAACAAAAATATTTGATGCACCACACAAATTACACCCCTAGCAATAGATGACCGCAAAAAACAGAAAAAATTAATTATTTCCAAAACGGCGCGGGGTTACATTTTTATTTTTGGACATTAGACTACTATTAGACCACTATTAAAAAATCATAAATGAAAACAAAAATATTTGATGCACCACACAAATTACACCCCTCGCAATAAATACCCGCCAAAAACAGAAAAAATCAATTATTTCCAAAACGGCGCGGGGTTACATTTTTATTTTTGGACATTAGACTACTATTAGACCACTATTAAAAAATCATAACTGAAAACAAAAATCTTTGATGCACCACACAAATTACACCCCTAGCAATAGATGACCGCAAAAAACAGAAAAAATTAATTATTTCCAAAACGGCGCGGGGTTACATTTTTATTTTTGGGCATTAAGACTACTATTAGACCATATAATAAAAATCATAACTGAAAACAAAAATATTTGATGCACCACACAAATTACACCCCTCGCAATAAATAACCGCAAAAAACCGAAAAAATCAATTATTTCCAAAACGGCGCGGGGTTACATTTTTATTTTTGGACATTAGACTACTATTAGACCATATAATAAAAATCATAACTGAAAACAAAAATATTTGATGCACCACACAAATTACACCCCTCGCAATAAATAACCGCAAAAAACCGAAAAAATCAATTATTTCCAAAACGGCGTGGGGTTACATTTTTATTTTTGGGCATTAGACTACTATTAGACCATATAATAAAAATCATAACTGAAAACAAAAATATTGGATGCACCACATTAGTTACACCCCTAGCAATAGATGACCGCAAAAAACAGAAAAAATTAATGATTTCCAAAACGGCGTGGGGTTACATTTTTATTTTTGGGCATTAGACTACTATTAGACCATATAATAATAATTATAACTGAAAACAAAAATATTTGATGCACCACATTAGTTACACCCCTAGCAATAAATAACCGCCAAAAACAGAAAAAATTAATTATTTCCAAAACGGCGCGGGGTTACATTTTTATTTTTGGACATTAGACTACTATTAGACCACTATTAAAAAATCATAACTGAAAACAAAAATATTTAATGCACCACACAAATTACACCCTTAGCAATAAACAACCGCAAAAAATAGAAAAAATTTAATTATTTCCAAAACGGCGTGGGGTTACATTTTTATTTTTGGACATTAGACTACTATTAGACCATATAATAAAAATCATAACTGAAAACAAAAATATTTGATGCACCACACA